TATAGTAAAGGGCAAAACATTAAGAGAATAGAGTACCCTGGAAAAATCACTAATATTATTACACCATACTTTGGTGCATTCAAAGGTGCCGCCAAGATATAGGTTCTTATAATTTTCCACGGCTTTTTTTGGAGTCCAACCCATTTTCACAACCAAATCCTGGGTAGCAGTTCACATTCACTATTCAACTTTGGGAGAAAGAAAAAAGTAAACTTACTGTAAAGAGCTTTCCATAATTATTTCTTACCTCAAAATTGGATGGAAGGTACCAAGGTCCCTTTTTCCCCCAAGCCCTAACATCAACAGTTAATTGACAAGCTACAGCAGTCAAAATCTAAAATAAGCAAAACCCAAGATTAGTATAGCTAATATGTGGTCAAGTATGACTTACCAAAACAGAACTACAAAATACTTACATAACCATGAAGCCATATTTCCGGCAGCAAATCCTTCAGTTCTAGACGTCTTAAACTATGGCCAAAATTCTCAACAAGCCATTTATCATCTTGTAGACCATCACCAAAGATGAAACGCGCAATGGAACGATCCTTATCATTATCTAACGCCATTATTGCAGTCACCGGAAATTCCACCTACGATTTGAATTTACCAAAACTTACAATACATAGGTACATCATAAACATTTTAAAATCACACAGGTGTAATTTCTTTAAATAAATTCTATATACCTTCCCCGACACATTTATATATTCCACAGCCGCATTTTTTGGCCTCTTGTGTGAATCATCGCCATCTGCGTCTGAGTCGGAATCTATATAAATAAGTCCTTTTACGCTAGGTGTGACAGGAACAACAGTGGGAGCTGAACTTCCAGATGCAGTCACCGGAAATTCCACCTACGATTTGAATTTAACAAAAATTACAATACATAGGTACATCATAAACACTTTAAAATGACACAAGTCCAAATTGTTTAAATAAATTAAATATACCTTCACCGACTCATTTAATTCTTCCATGACCGCATATTTTTGCCTCTTGTGTGAACCATCGCCATCGCGATCTGATTCTGGGTTTGAATCAATATAATAAACTCTTTTTACGGTAGGTGTGACGGGAACATCAGTGGGAGGTGAACTTCCAGATGCTTGATCAAGAATACGTTTCGACATCCTCTTTAGCACTTGAAATTCAGTATCAGCTTTCAGTATCATTGCAGTCAAAGATTTAATCTTATCGTGCAACTCAGTGAACGTCGTCTCCATGGCTCGAAAGGTAGTCGATATGGATCCAACAACTTCTTTAGTATCATGGCTCGACATGCTAAACAACAAATTTTGCCCACGTAAAACAATAAATAACTAAGGACTTACATAATTGTAGGGAATTAAAGGAGCATCAAGTCATAAACAAACAAAAATCAAAGTGGCTTAAGGAGCGAATAAAGACAGCGCATACATTAAAGGAAAAAGGTTGTAAGAAAGGAACAGCACAAACGACCAAAAGAAAGAGCTATTTTAGTTGCTGCACTGTACCGAGATTTCTGCATTGCAATGAGTTTATCTCCCCGCCAACAGAGAAGAAAAGCCTTACTTTTTCTAAAGTCACCAGGGAGAACGGCAGGAGTTATTTTTTACAAGGTAAACTCTAGGCTTGGCACCCCTTTATATAGACTGCCAAACAAACCTAATTTATTAATACCATTACGTCCAAAAAAAGAATTCCTCTATTGACACCTAAACTGATCCAACTAAGGAAAGCAAGCCTATTAACAAGGAGTACAGATTAAATCCCCACCAATGACAAGCCTATTTACAAGCATATTCCTCTATTGCTTTTGGCTCCACCACCGAACGAGGGAGGCCATCTCCACTGGCTATAAAGAACACCTGAAGAATGAAAATGAATTTATCAGTAACCAACCTAGCACTGTTTCTTTCTTGACCAAAAAAAAAATTCGGCCATCATTATTTATGAACCGAACACAGACATAATTACACATATCACATATGCATTGGAGAGAGAGAGAGACATAGACAGAGGAAATGATAGACCTTCAAGATATCGAAGTCTTCTTCCATCATAACAACATCTGAATCAGAGAATGCACGAGAGGGGCCTCAGTTAAGCAACACCCAAACATATCCCTACTGTAGCAAGATAATGTGTACAAATTATATACAAGCTATAATGGAAGGTTTGCGAATTCAAAGTACAAAAGAGAATTTGAAGACCTACCAACAATGCTCGGCAAACGCTTAACAACACCGAGTCTCTGAATTAATCATCAATCAATCGGCATATCTCATCAAGAACCTGAAAATTATATGCAAGTTCAGCTAAGAGAAGCAAGCAAGACAAACAAAGAGGAGGCTCCACTGAAGTTGACAGTCTTACATTATCTGCTTGAGGAAGGAAATATCTCAAGCGAGAAGATCCAACATCGCCAATTTTTAAAAACCAAACAAGAATCTCTCTCTGAGATCCCAAATGATTACTCTAGCACCTGCCAAGTGACAATCGAAAAGAAAAACACCAGGGAGGTCAGTTCTACAAAAAGAAGGCAGAATGAGAGAATACATACAAGATTGATAATAATAAAAACTTGATTGAAAGCTAGCAACAACTTAAGCTGTCACATTATTTAGAGTTGTGTAAGTGGTTAATTAGGAATTGTAAAGAAAAGGTTTTATTAGATGAATGATGTATGCTAATATCTCTTTAAATCTTGAGAAGCAGAAGGCAGTTCTTACAATAATGGTTCATTATAGAGATATCAAGCATTCTCCAAATAGTGAGTTCTTCACATCAACGGTTCCAGTTGTTAAAAAGTCATTCAAACACCAATCTTTCACAAAAGTCAACCATGCTCTGAGCCTCGAAAGACGACGAATTATCACATATTCTGTATAGCGAGTTAACGGAGGAATGGGCGGGATATAGATTATTCCTCGGAACTGCCAATGCAACACGAGAGCAAAACAACTATTACTTAAACTATGTAAGATACAAAGGGAAAGTAGTCTAATTAACATTGGCAGAGTTCAACTCCTTTTCCAGTCCAGTTAGTGGTCAAGTAGCATACTAAAACAAATTGACTGTTCTATCAGGTGTAGCATAATACATAACTGACTCAACAGTTTCTGCAGAGAGGAATCCAAGCTGTGAAAAATTATAGACAACATCGCCTGCAGATGTGTAATACCTAAATGACTCAACTATTGATGTCGCTTGCCTCTTCTGCAGGGACAAAGGTTCCCAGTCCTGCACAAACAACAGGAAACACAAAGGTTCCCAGTCTTGCATACCCCAGCAACTATTTTCAAGTTCACATGTTTCTCAAATTACCCTACCGTGGTTGTTCATATTTAATTCAGTGCGTTTAACAATTACACAGTACAGCTTTAAGTGATCAAGGTGAATCTGATTGAGGCTTGCACTAGAAATCATCCACCGCAATTACGGACTAACCTCAAGGTCAAAAGAACGACCAGTCCATCCCAAAATGTGATCATGCTGAGAAATCACCCAGTCAATAAAAAAGGGTTCAGAAACTTCTGCAATCTGCACATGGGGAAAGGGAGACAGTGAATCTTAATGTGTTATTGCTACCAATGAAATCAGACATCCCATAAACATCCAAAGAAAAATTTCAAACACAAATATGACCTAGTACAACTTCTACTTCTGCAATTTCAAGTAAGGCCCATTATTCATACCTATCAAAGTTTATGCCATCAGTCTCGTTCATCCGCTCTGGTTGCTGCTGTTGGTATTCGCACTTTCCGTTGGCCATCAACGGCATTGTACCTACCCACCGCTATCGGCGATCCGCACTTCGGCCCACCTCTCGAGTCTGCACTCTTCACTTCTCCGATCCTTCCTCATCCGCCTCTCAAGCACAAGATTCAATCCATCATGCCTCGAACAGGTCACTCTCTTAATCCATAGAGGGATTAAACATCGATGGGAAGCGCAAAATCCAATTGCTTCAATCGATAGCCAGGATGAGAGGAGAGGGTTCGTCAACCACTACAGACAGCAATTGGAAAGAGGGTTTGAGCGTTGACATGAGTGGCAAAAGAAATAAATCACCAAACTAAAATTGTAAGTAAATATAACTTAATGGATTGGAGACATGATTAGAATAAAATTTGGTACTATAATTCGAAAATATGTTGAAAAGTTTGTTTAGGGGTTAAAGGGTACGCATAAAAAAGTAATAGGACCAACTAATCATTTAAAAATTGTAAAAATTAAATAATTTAATTCCAATTAATAAACACCGTTAGATTAGATCTACGGTGTAGAAATCCTGTCGCATAGTATGTGTCTAACGCATACGAGTGTGACCCTATATTTGTATATATATAATATATCCAATATGTTGAGAAAATAATGGCCATGCATGTGCATAATTGGGCGGGTCACTACAAGAAATTATGCTTTCCGCAACCATCAATAATGGTCGCTGAAACTAAAAAAATGGTTGCCGAAACAGTTCTGCGACCATAAAAGACGGTCGCCAAGATGGTCGGCAATACTGCGTTGGCATAGGTCCAAGGCGACCCTTTTAATATGTGGTCGCTGAATGTATACTTTAAGCAACCATAGGGTATAGTTGGCAGAACACCAGTTTGGCGACGATCTATTTATGGTTGCCTTTTACATGTTTTCAGCGACGATATAAAATGGTTGGCGTAAATCTAGAGTTTGAACAACTATAACTATGGTCGCTACAGGGTGACGTTTCAAGCGACAATCTCATTTATGGTTGTCAAATGAGAGGTTTGGGCGACCTTTTTTTATGGTCGCCAAACAATCTGTGGAGGTTGGGTAGTTAGGCAACTCTTATTATATGGTTTCCAAACGGTGTGTTTAAGAGACTATTTAGCCTATGGTAGCTGAATGAGAGCTGTGAACAGTTATAAACCAACCTTTAATTTATATGGTAGTTAAACGCTAACTATAAATTAAAAATAACAAATCAAAGCATACAATAGAAAACATAAATAATATTCAATTGATCTAAATCTTAATCCAAAAATGATATCTTATTACGAAAAGTGGCAAAACATAATATTGTGTTCTACTCCTACACATATCCATAATACAATTATCATCCTGAATATTTACATGATCTCAATGGTTAGCAAGCCTATACTTAGTATCTTCAAGCAATCTTCACATCATTTGAATAAATGATGCATCTACCTGTAATTTCAACAAAAAGAGAAGTATAAGTCATATTGAGTTATCAACAACTGCTTATTAAACAAGCTCTACCAAGATCAATAATAAGAAAACAAAAGAGGGCAGATGGAGGTCGAGAGAAGGGAGGGAAAAAAGTACCTCTTGTAAGCATATTAAACATGGAAGGCAAGTGCCGCATCATCAATTGATTCTGAAATCGAGCAGAAGCAAGCCAAGGATTTATGAACTTCCATCCATAGTAGTCCATGGAGCATTTCCTATTTCCTAGCTCCTATGGAAGTCATCTTCTTCGCCTACAGAAGTGCACATGTAAACACAATCTCATATTAGAATGAAAAGTAAGCAGGTTAGGCAATTCAACTCACTTCATTGAAGGTGAAAGTCCAATCTCAACTACTGTAACGAGGGATATCTTTCCAACCTAACAGGCAATTGACGGGTTGAATTCCACTAGCATACCATAAACAAGCACTTAAAACTAAAAGCAACATCTCGGTCATTTCTAAGTAAATAGAAGCTCCCTCAAGTCGATGGAATTCATTCACTAAAAACCCTAACTCTCAAATTTCAACACTGACAAAAAATCAAAAACCCCCCAATTCAATCCTCAGACGCAGCTCCTTCTCCTGCAACCTTCCTCCGCCAAGATCTCGATACCCAGGTCTTTGCTGCTGCCTGGAGAAAGCAGAGGGCGTCCCCTTGAGTTCTTTCCTCTGTTCAAATCCGTAGTATCGAGTGACTCCCCTGCTGAAGGTGGCTGGAAGCTGGGAGACCAGAGCCTGGATGCGGTCTCCGTCATCGCCGTTAAGTCTCGCCGAGAAACAAGGGAGTGCGGCGGAAGTCGCTTGAGGTCGGAAACTATTCTTCCTCACGCCGTTGTGCTCTTGCCATCTCTGTCTCCCTGTCCTCCCGCCATCTCTCCGTCTCCGGCTAAGGGAAGCCAGGCGACGGCAAGGGAACGCTGGGTAACCTGATTTTGGATGGGGATTTGGGAATGGGTTTGGGGTTTTTGTTTGTTCATATTTGGGGTTGAGATTTGGGAATGGGGTTGAGATTTGGGAATGGGTTTGAGACTTGTGCCCTCGACGACGAGGCGGTGGGAACCAGAGAGAATCGAGGAGGGAGGAGGAGGCGCATGCCACCCATCAATTTGAGAAAGCGGCGGCGGCGGAAGGCAGAAGAGGAAGGTGGGGAGGAGAGACTAATCAGTGGAGGCGTTGGATGAGGGAATGGGGTTCGACATCCATAGAAAGCCAAAGAGATAAGGTTTTGTGTACTTGGTTGAATAAACGGTGGAGATTCATTGAGATGAATGGTTTTGATAAAGTTTGTATGGATTAGAGTTGGACTTGGATGATTCGGCATGGGTTCAGTATTATATGATTTAGTCACCTAAAACAGTTAAGCAGTGATTAGTTTGATGAAGAAAAATAAATTATTAATGAACCAATTTAGTATTTGATACTAATAGACTTCAACGTTGATCCAATAGTGATAGGGGCATAAAAGAATTTTTCATTCATTTACAAAAGGTCTTTTAACACACTAATCAAATTTAAAGTCGTATACGAATTTGTTGAACGGTCATTGTCATATAGTGAAAATAGTGAGTTTATGTAGAAGCATTTTAATTACCTACAAGTGTAAAAACATGAGATTTTTAGTTTTAAAACCGTCCTTAAAAATATTATAGAATGAATACATAATGATTTATTATAATGATAATTAATAAAAATATTCTAATATATTTACTAAAATATTCTCTCTTTTTTTTCAACGAAAAGAAAATGTTCTTGATGAAGTATCATTAAGTATCACCAACTATGTTGACAATGGTTGATGAAGTATTTACTTTTCGGCAACCATCTTTCAAATCGTTGGTCAAACTTTGCTTAATCGGCAACCATTTCAGTAATCGTTTCGCAAAAATCAATTATTAACAACTATTTTTATAATGGTTGGTGAAGCATTGACATTTGACAACCATTCTTCAAATAGTTGCTCAAACTTTGCTCAATCAGCAACCATTTAAATAATAGTTGCTCAAACAACAAGCTTGAGCAACTATTTATATAACGGTTGATAAAGTATTGACTTTTCGACAACCATTTTACAAATCGTTGCTCAAACTTTGCTCAATAGACAACTATTTAAGTAATGGTTGCTCAAACATCAAGTATCAGCAACCATTTTGATAATAGTTGGTGATGTATTGATTTTCTGGCAAACATTTAACAAATGGTTGTTGAAGAGCTAGGTATTAGCAACCATTGTGCAAATGGTTGCATGAGTCCTAGTCTATTGCAATTATTTTATGATGGTTGCTCAAAGGTTGGGCATCACCAACCATTTTGTAAATGGTGGCCAAAAGTCCAGTTATCAGCAACCATTTCCTTATGGTTGCTAAGAATATTGTTGCTGAAACCAATTTTTCTTGTAGTGGGTTCAGGTTGGATCATGAGAAATACATGTCCGCCCATTACCCGTATTGGGTTATACACATGCGCACTGAAAATCCTTCGGGTTCGGGTTTTATCAAACCTAATTAGGTCAGACCAAGCACATATCCATAATCGCGGATATTGTTGCCATCCCTAACAAACGTCATTCTCATTAATAGTTTGGTTATGCTAACGTCGACTCCAATCATTAGCACATGTTAATTTTATTTTAATTTTGAGCGATAAAACATTGCTTTCTCAACAAATTTTGTAAAGAGTTTCGGATTGATGAGTCAATTTCGAGTATTGCTCGTGATTTCAGTAATCAGTTGATAACACCGAAATGGTGTTATTCACCTTGCATTTATTAGGTAAAATTGTGTTAACATGATAAATCAATTGTTTTAACAAATGTCATTTGCATGCCCATTTCGTTCATGACACTATTTCGGGAGGCATTTGACATTTTTTTATAATGGGTGGCTTTATTTCATCAATACAATTTGTACAATCTGAAGACAATGGTTCACTGTACAGACTTTAGAGAGAAACCCAGTACAAGATATAAACCCAATACAAGATATTTAGACCTACTACTACCTTCTGCCACGCTTTATACTACATACTCAGCTCTCGTCCTTCCTACCGCAAGCGCTGAGCACTCATAGACTCTACAAGTTTTGGATCCCCAACAGCCTTTATCCTTATGACTTCTTGCATCCTAGCAACCAAACCTGCAACTGACATTTGCTTACCTCCATACAACTGGCGACATCTCTCCCGCCATATCTCTCTTAACACCAGACACTAGAGTATTCTCCCAGCTAAACTCTGCTGAAGCTTCTGAGTTGCAAACACAACAGCCTGGTGCAAAGTAGCAGGTAACGGAACCCGCCAAGCAGCTGGAAAAAAGATCTCCACACATCCTGCACATACTCACATTGAAAGAAAATATGGTCACCTAACTCAGGCAACTGCTGACACAGCGGGCAGGTGACACAAATTTCTGGGTTCCAACGAAGAATCTTATCCAGGGTGGTGATCTTCCCTAGTAAAATCAGCTAGGTGATAACTAAATTCCGTGGAATTCCTTTCTTCCAAACCAGCTTGGACCACCCCACAGGAGCACCTCTAGGTCTGATACTCTGCCAGATTTTGCTGGTCTGGAACCGAGGCATCAGATCTCCCTCACATTGTACTCCCCTATATGTTTTACATAACTTCCCTACAAAGATATCTCGCAACTTTAGGATATTATTCCATACCCACGAACCTTTTGTTTTAACCTCCCAAATGCTCAGATTACGGAGTCTATATTCCTTTACCCAAGCAATCCAGAGTATTTCCTTATTAGAAAGTATCCTCCAAAGATGCCTAGCAAAGCAGGCTTTGTTCTAAGAATGCAAATCCTTAAACCCCATACCCCCTTCTGCACGAGGCAGTGCAACTGTCCTCCACTGAACCCTAGCGTTCTTCTTCTCAAGGTCATTCCAAAGGATTTGGGAACAGAGCTTTTCAATTTCTGTTATAACCTTCTTTGGCAGCAGTATGACGCTCATCCAGTACTGGGTCATACTAGCCAAGATTGATACAACTAGCTCTAACTTCCCTGCGTAGGTTAAAAGCTTTGACATTGCGAGCAAAGATGGGGAGAAAATGGGCAAGAATGCGTAGAAACAAGGAGAAGAAGCAGACAAGGCCAAGATCGCAGCTATAGGTGTCAAAACATAACCCGACCCGACTAACCCGCCTAATCAACCCGGCCTGCAACCCAAATTGACTAAAAGTCAACAACCCATAACCCACTCGACCCGCAACCCGACTAACCCGCAACCCGATTAACCAGCACCCCGATTAACCCAAACCCAATTGATCCGAACCCGACTAACCCGTGACCCGACAGTCTAACCCGAACCCCACCCAATCCACCAGAATAATTATTATATTATATAATACATAAGTTTTCAAAATGAAGTTTTTCATTCTGAACATAGATAATTTTATTTTTTCAATTTGTATAGGGAATTTAAAACATGAAACTCACTTGATATTATGCATTTTAATAAAATTTCAGCAATTGCAACATGAAGGTCGCTTGAACAATTAGTTCTTTAACAAAATTAAAAAATTAAATACGAAATATAAAATCAACACAATATCAATATTGACATTGAAGATAATAATTGATATAATGGACAATATTAATATATTATATATAAATTAAAATTTTGTTTAATTTAAATATTCAACAAAGTTATCAATTAAATATAAATAGAGTAAAGTAATTTATTTGATAATTTATGATTTTAAAAGAGGAGTGAAATTTTGGTGTTTTCAACTTTTTTGGGAAGAGAATGAAGAGAGAAATTTGGTGCTTTGAATTCTTAAGAAAAGAAACAAGGGGAAAATTTGGTGGTTTTGATTTGTGGGAAGAGAAAAAAAGTGGTAAAGTTTGATTCTTTTGATTACGAAAAAGGAAATAAGGAGGGAAATATTGTGTTTTCACCTTTTTGAGAAAGAAAGGAAGAGTAAAATTTAGTTTTTTCAATTTTATGATAGAGAAAGAGGAAGGAAAATTGAGTGTTTCTAATTTATGGAAGGAGAAAGAAGGAGTTTTAGTTCTTTTTTTGTTTTAAGAAAGAAGGAAACAAATTCAGTGTTTTTAACTTTTTGGGTTTTCAAAATTTTAGTCTTTCAAATATGATCTTTAATTTTTATATGTAGGGCATGACTAATTAACTATATTATGCTCTTATATGTAATGACTATTTGACTATATTATATTTGAAAATTTGTAACAAGTTATCTCTTCTTTAATATAATATCACTCGAATTATCACAAATACATGTTATTTTACATTATAAATCATATACTTAATCACTTATAGATATCATATGCTTAATAAAAAACCTTCTAAACTTAGACAAAAGTCAAAACCATGTTTGAGAGTATATGTTTAGGGTATAGCAAAGATCTCTTTTTAATCTATGTTTTGAAAATCAAAGTCTGAATTTCAGTCTAAATGAACTATAGTAGCAAATCATAACTCATAAGGCTATATGGTTTATGGTTAGAGTATAAGTTAAGTGGTTATGGTATAAGGTATATGGTTTATGGTATATGTTTAGGGTATAGCAAAGATCAATTTTTAATCTATGTTTTGAAAATCAAAGTGTGATAAAGATTAAATGAACAATATTGGCAAATCATAACTCGTAATGCTATATGGTTAGAGTATAAGGTAGGTGATTAGGGTATAAGGTATATATGGTTTAGGGTATAGCAAATATCCCTTTTTAATCTATTTTTTGAAAATCAAAGCCTGAATTTCACTTTAAATTTACTATAGTAGCAAAATCGTAACTCATAATGATATATTGTTAGGGTATTAGGGTATATGGTTTAGGATTTAGGGTATATGGTATATGGTTAGGTATAGCAAATATGACTTTTTAATCTATACTAGGCTTTTATTACCCGCTCTCTACGCCGGGATGGGTGTGACAATTAAGTTTTTACAATTCCATTTGCCATGGTTGACGTATTGAGGTACCATGATTGAGATGAATGAGTGATTCAATATGAATATGAATTTAACAGAAAAAAAAGAGCAACAATTATACATACGAATACGAATTTCCTAATTGCACTTTATAGTGTTGTTAAAAAGTATAAACAACATACAATTCAATCAATGTGTCCATCTATTTTTCTTTCGGTATGTGAACCATTGTAGTGAGTACCAAATAGGCTTGTTGATCGACAACATAAACATATTACAACCAAAAAAAAGGATAATGCACAAAACTAATGCGAGCACTACAACAATGAAAGTCACTAAACCACTCACCACCTTTCATTCGTCTGCCTCTCTCCCTTGAGTTCAGAATATAAGCAAAAACAAACATTCCATGTGCAGACACAGAGGAGGGATCAGATGGATGTGTTGAAGTAAAGCTCTTCACTTAGCTTGGAAGCAAAGTTAATGTCAGATCAAGGCTTACTCATTAGTACTCTCGCCATATACCCAGGTTCTAAGTCGGATAGCAGCCTGAGGAGAAACATTACAGGTATAGTTAGGTCCCATTTTTTGCAGAAGATGACAATTAAAGGAAGAGAAAATTGCAATCACCTAATCCAAAAGGCAAATCCCTGGATTTCGATATTTTCTGAACACATATATGCCTTTCCCTTGATGCAAAAATCTCAACTGAAAAATCTGAAATCGCAAAAGAGAGAAGAAAAACTAGGGTTCTACAGGAAGAAGAAGAAGAGGCGAAATGGAAATGAAGATTTTGCGAAGAGAAGATAGATACACGATCTGTCTTCAGGGAGTACAGATCGGATTAAGGACTAGGCTTGAGTGATATATTGGCGGCCCACTAAGTAACACAAATCGGCCCCACTGATTTCCTTAGCCCAAGATTTAAGCCCGCTCACTTCACTCTGAGACTCGTCTTCTTCCTTGAGAAGCAGAGTTTCTGAAGAAGGGGACAAGTGCAAACCAGAGGAAGAATCAAAAGTGAGGAAAGAAGGGACCAACAGAGAATCGAAAGAACACAACCAAGTTTAACGAAGTTCCCAATCTACTGGTCACTCCTCGTCCTAGACTCGGTACTTCAGTGAAGTCTAGGAGACTCTTTTTATTTGATTTTTCCTATCAAGCGATATGAACCAACAAAGACTCAAAAGAAAAACAACAAGAGTATTTAACCCAGATCCCAGTCCCAGACCCGTTACACCGTTAATCAAGCAGAACCTCTTCCTCTGTTGATTAATCCAGATTTTCAGTAGCCCTCTACCACCCTTGACAAAAGGTATCGAGCTTTGAAGAAGAGCTCGAGTATATATAGCCATCCACCCATAATTGACCGTTGTGCTTGAATTCGAACGCAGGATACAAATGGAAGCTCTGAGCTGTCTCTGGCTGTCGACTTACCTTCTTAGATGCAATTATGATTTGGTAACTTGGTTCTACAATCTCTCCTTAAATCAGAGATTGCCAATTGCCTGCAAAAAGAACATACCTTCTCTCGACCAAACATATAAGCAATATCCATTAATCAATAAGGCCAGAACCACTTAAAGTCCAAACAACATCCATCATCCACCATTCTCAAAGACAGCCAGAAACCAGTCACGCCAAACATTAGAAAAAGAACACAAACTGATGTCAAAACAATCATCCAGCAACAAGATCAAGACCAACCCAAGTCTAGAAGCCTGACAAGAAATCCACACAACAAACTGAACCAGAAAAGTTACTCTCAAAAACTAAAAAAAACTGCTCGCCAGGAGGTCTAATCAAGAGCTAATTTTGGTCATCATCTGATCCATCTGTGCCATATTCCAGCAGGGCCTGGAGAGCTTCGACCAAAGGCTCCAGTTCTGCATCATCACTACTGCTACTGCTGCTGTCGTCATCGCCGCTACTCACCCAGACAACTACATACTCCCCTTCAACAGCATCCTCCCCTTCAATGGCAATCTCCAGAGCATCTAGAACAGCGTCAGCCGGAGGGTACATGGAGGGCGTGATAGTGTGAAACGGAGAGAGATGGATGCGAAGCTCGAGAAGAAGGGAGGTGACCAGGGGCCCAAAAGCAAGAGGCCGCCGAGGGACGCATCACTAAACCGTAGAAGACCACCAAACACAAGATGCGCATATTCAAGGGGAATCCCATGAACAGCGTGAGACATGATCCAAAGATCCATTGGAAGAACAAGGTCCAGAGATTCACCACGAGGAACAAAGACCCGGGTGATGCAATAATGAAGCAGCCTAAGAGATGGTAGAAGAGAGGAGACAGGCATAAGAATATCAGGAGCTGGCAGAACGCCGGTGAGCTGATGAAATTCCTCAGCATATTGAAATGCAAATAGCTCAAGCTCAGAGGCGTCAGTGAGAGCCTCTCCAACTCGAGGAATATGAAGAGTCTCTGACATGTCGTCAAGATGAAGAGTGAACAGATGTCCAAAGACTATAGAAGAGAAAGTGCGGGAGGCAAGCCCGGGGGAGCGAAAGTTCGAAAAGAAATAACGAACTAAGTCTGGACAGACCAAGGATGAAAAAGGATGATCAAGAAGATATTCCCATCCCAAGTTTTGAATGTACCTGTGCACATCAAGTCCCAATTCCATGAGAGCAGGAAAGGGAACATGATATGAGGCCAAAAAAGGACGCGAAGCAAAACTTTGGAGATGACGATGATAGTTGGTGGGGATAGGCTCAAAGAAAAGGGTGCCAGTAAATGTGACTGCGAAGACCATATTGAGGGGACAAGACTAGGATCGCTAGACAAAAAGGTGGAGGAAGGAGGAGAACCGAGAGCAAGGTTAAATACTAGAGAACAAGATAAAACAAGGAAAGAACTTAAATGCAGAGAATCAAGGAAGGCAGACATAAACAGAAATAATTACAAAGGCAAATCAAAGCACGAAAAATTAAAACACAAAAAGAAACAAAATGCAATAAAGGAAAATAGAAGCAGAACTTACCTCCCAATCATCTCAGTTAGAGATGAAAGGGACCGCAGCCCGATTTCATGACACAAAAAGGTAAAACGATCAGTAGCTAAGGGTTTGGTGAAAAGATCTGCTAATTGGAACTCGGTGGGGATATATTGTAGGGAAATTAAATTATCCTGAACAAGATCACGAATGAAATGGTACTTAACCTCTATATGCTTGGTGCGAGAGTGCTGAACAGGATTTTTTGTCATACTAATAGCACTAGTATTATCACAGAATAATGGAATAGTAGTGCTGACTAGACCATAGTCTGATAACTGATTTTTAAGCCATAATAATTGAGTACAGGAGCTGCCAGCAGCAATGTACTCTGCTTCTGCTGTTGAAAGAGCAACAACACCTTGTTTCTTGCATGACCAATAAACAAGGGAGAGACCTACAAACTGACAGCTGCCTGTAGTACTTCTTCGATCAGTGAGGCTACCAGCAAAGTTAGAGTCACTTTATCCCATGAGGTCAAACAAATCCTGCTGGCTATACCAGAGACCTACATCAGATGTTCCTTTTATATAACGAAATATACGTTTAACCGCACTGGGGTGACTTTCCTTTGGTTGAGACTGAAAACGAGCACAAAAGCACACACTATATTGAATATCTGGTCTACTAGCAGTTAAGTAAAGAAGAGAACAGAACATGCCTCGATACAGGGATTCATCCACTGGAATTCCAGCTTCATCCTTATCCAGTTTTAAATTAGCCGCCATAGGACTGGGACTTGTATTTAAGGCAGTCATATCGAATTTACTTAACATACTAGAGATGTATTTAGCCTGATTGATAAAAATGCCACAAGGTGTTTGCTTGACTTGAAGACCTAAAAAGAATTTCAATTCTCCCATCATGCTCATCTCAAACACATTTTTCATGGACTCACAGAATTCAGAGCACAGTTTCTCATTTGTAGAGCCAAAAACAATGTCGTCGACATAAATTTGAACAAGCAATAGGTCACCTAAAACCTTTTTAATAAACAGGTTTTTATCAACAGCCCCTTGCACGAAATGTTCTTGCTTGAGAAACGTCGTTAAACGTTCATACCAAGCTTGAGGGGCATGTTTAAGCCCATACAGAGCTTTATTGAGCTTAAAGACATGATCAGGGAACTGAGAATCAGTAAAACCAGGAGGTTGTTCAACATAAACATCCTCCTGAATAACTCCATTTAAAAAGGCACTTTTAACGTCCATCTGGAACAGCTTAAAATTCATATAACTAGCAAAAGCACATAGCAATCGGATTGATTCAAGACGAGCCACAGGGGCAAAAGTTTCGTCGTAATCAAAGCCTTCCTCTTGCAAGTAACCTTGAGCCACTAATCTAGCCTCTTCTGAGTTCAGATTCAAAAAATCCATTAAACAACCTTCGATTTAATATCACGAAACTGACGAAACATCTAATTAGGGACAGAGAAGAAACAATCACCTGAAGAAAATGAAAAAAAAGAACCTGCGAATCTTCTATTCGGTTAACATCTACATCGACGAACAAGGCTATCCTCCTGGTTTTAAGCAACATCAGTATCAAGACTGAAATAAACTTCGAAAGATTGAAAATCAAATTAACCACCATCTAAGATCGCTGAAACTCACCAAATAATCTATTTCCCGCGTCTAAAATTGCACAAAACAACGCTGCATGCATACCATGAGAGAGAGGAAAAAGAAACGTGATGGATGAGAAGTAGAATTGAGGAGGCAGGTAGAAATAGAATGTGTGCTGGAGGAAAAGAACTGCGATTTTTTCTCTCCCTCATATCTCCATTCTCCACTAACTGGCCCTCCCTCTCCTTTCTCGACGAAAAGGCTGGGTTATCAATCTAAAAGGAAAGTCACTATCTCTCACCAATAGCAATTGATGGGATGAAACGGCGACAAAAACCCCGATTCCGCAGAGCATCCGTCAACAAACCCTCTGTCCTACAGGCGAAGCACTCCCCAAACCAATATCTGCTTAAGCTGCAAAAAAAAAAAACAAAAAATAGAGGAAAAAGTAAAGGTTCAAAACAACCATCACGATTAAAACAAACCTACAACGGGGAAATTTGTTGGAGGGCAAGACAGAGAACATGACCTGCAACATAAAAGTTTCTAGTAGCTCTGGATGTGCGAAGCAGTGTGCGAAGCCTAATGTTCAAAAGAAAGCACAGACAGAAGGCGAGTTCTTCATCTCGGCAACCCATTCTTCTATGGCGAGGGCTTAAAACACTCTCCGGATCCATAAAATCCATCAAGCGATCCACGATTTCAGCTGACGAAATAGACCAAACAACTCAATAGGGGCAGAGAGAAGAACACCTGACTTCTCCGAAATTCCTTCCAGCAAATCGATTAAGGGATGCCCTACACAATAGATTAAGCGGATCATACCGAATCAGAAAGAGAGAGCACGAACCCATTCGATAAAAAATGAGAAAACAAAATCGGTGGAGAGAGCGAGAACTATCACCTAAAACAAACACAGGCAACAACCAGTTCCATCTCAACCAACGTGCCAAACTCCCGTCAAAATCCAAAGAGCCCTCACCCAACTCCAGCCCATAGAGACAGCTTCCGGGTTATAACAGTAGATCCCAGTCACGTTGAGCAGTAAAAGCAGTCTGTGTGTGCAGTGTTTGGTTCTGCGGTGGGATTTCTTCTTTCAATTTTAAAAATCAGAGTATGAATTTCACTTTAAATTAACTATAGTAGCAATTCAGATTTTTTTTAACTTAAGATGATAAACCATAGTTTGATGGCCACTAGCTTAGCACAAACAAAAGATTACAAAATGAAACAACAAATAGCTCCCGATACATATTTGCAGCTCACGCATCCTATCGAAGAAGCTCTAACCGAAGCCAAAAACTCAATAGTCAATTCAGGATTGAGACTGAAAGAAAATTTCCTAAATTACATTCATGTTAAATTGACTCCATCCGCTGTAGGAGGGAAATGTGAGCAGGATTCATACTTGAATTTTATGGGGTTTAACCTTTGGGGGTTATTGAAAGCCCAACCCGCCCAATTTTTTCTTCGAAAATTGGTTACCCATCCCCCGCCGCCAGGCGCCAACCCAAAATGATCCCTAGTCCCCTGCCTTTTCAAGCTAAGGTTTTCACTTTCAACAAAAAAAATTTTGGAGGAAGTCTCCCACTCTAATGTAAAAAGTTCTATCCTAAATATTTGGAATTTTTTTAATAAAGGTGTGAGGAGGAACTCAATTAGACTATAATAAACAATTTACTTATTTAGATAATTTAACAATTCCTCATAAATAGTGTAATATCTAATTATATAAGCTAATTTGACTACTTTTAGGATATAGGGTTATCTAGCAAAAATAAAAAAAACTCTCGCGACAGTGGCTGTCGATCTTCCGTCAAAACTTCAAACTTTGGTATGAGAATCTTTTAGTCATAATTGAGTTTTAGTGACCAATAAGCCATAATTTGGCTTGGACATAATCATATAATTGTAAATTTTTAAATAGAGATTCTATGGAATTTTAAGATTGAAAGATTTAGTAGTAAAATCAGGATCGACCTGTAGCCCATAAATAAGATCGTAAGATTTTAAGACTACAATCAAAATTTTGACTATAATGGCTAAATCATACGATTTCAATAACTCAATCATTTAAAATAATCCAAAATTAGTTTAGCACTTTGACAAGCTTTTTTTAAACTTTTATAAGCACTAAAAAAATTTAATAAGTACAAATATGAGGTAGATATCAATTGTGTAAGTTGGTAATGAGTAAGGAATAAGTTACTCGATGCGCTGACCCGAACAACCCGCAACCCGATCTGCCCGCAACCCGCCCGACCCAAAACTCGACGACCCCGAACACGATTTGTCTGCAACCCGATTGAACCCGAACCCGATAAACCCGCAACCCGACTACCCGCAACCCGTTTGTGCCCGAACCCGATGAACCCAAACCCGATAACCCCACAACCCGAAGAACCCGAAACCCGACTAACTCGCAAACCGATTGAACCCAGCCCGAACCCGCCCGATTGACACCTATAATCGCAGCTGAAGTGCTAAAGTTCCCGACCGCGAAGATGGAATGCAAAGTCTATCAGAAGATCGCGGGCCAAGGTCGTGAGATCTTGACCGCGAAGCGGAGAACTGAGAACTCTAACCGCGAACTCTGGAAGGAGGCGTCGCTAGGAGTACAAAGAGTTTCACTACTCTCTTCGGGGGCAACGTTGATCCAGATAGAGGAAAAAGATCACACCCGCGACACATAAGTTCGCGGTCGCGATATTCTGTCTTCAGGACGTGAACTAGCTCGAGATTTCCAGCGCCTATAAATAGTAGAGTTGCTGAAGAGAAAATGGGGAGCCTCCTTAGAGTGAGAAAGTTAGGGTTTTGGAGTGTTTTAGAGATAGAATCACCTTGGGAGAGCTTCATTGAAGATCCAATCAACCCAAGGAGCAAGGAGAAGAAGCTTGATTCTGTCATTCCCTTCTTCTAATTTGTGTTTTCTTCCTCTCTAATGACTTGATTCTCTAATGGTTGTTTAGAAAAGATGAACCCTAGTTTATAGGTTGTGTATAAATGGGTTTATGAATGAATGTGTTTATCTAGTTGATTTTATTGCTATTCTAGCTTTGATTGTGTTTGGGTAAGTCGCCATAATCTTCTCTACTAGCCTACTTTACGCTTCTACGCTGAATTTGGAGTTCTAGAGTTAGACGGGTATGCGCCATCAAGCAAATCGGGTTAGATGTTTGAACGGGGGCCTATAGTGGTCGAGGCAACCGAACCCCTACTATAGGTGCCTTCCTAGATAGAACCCAGGATAAAACCTCAGTGTGGACAGTGGATAGTGACCATTGAAATGAACCATGAGCTTAGTGCCCCAGATACAATATCCTAGATTTAGGTGACTATATATGGGTTTAGGGGAGGCGTACTCGGAGGCGTGTGGATAACCACAAAAGCCCACGAAAAAGAGCTCACTTACCACATTCGATTTACCCTACTTGACAATCGTAGCTAGGAGGATTCTAACCTAGGCAACCATCTCATCTATCGCGTTCTCCCAACACTGGGTGGGTTGTTTATTTCGCCTTAGTATACCCCCTCACCAAACTTCCGACCCGATTAGATAGTAGTTCGGAGCGAAGTAATAATAAACTTAAGGATCCCTTAGAATACAACCAAGCCACTTTACTACAACCCTAGCTAGGTTATACTTGGCTTAGTGACGCAGCGAGTACCTGGATAGAAACCGAAGACCCGTTGATTCTACCGAATGCCGGGAAAACGATCGCCACTAACCAATTGATTCGAGGAATACCTAGGTTAGCGGTGTCAAGAACGAACTCTCGCGAACTCGAACATGGGGAAAAGAGCGACGGCGCCCTTGTTCTGTTATTACTCAAAAGCTAATTAAAAAGCCTTGTCTCGACAAATATATATAGTGCAGGGGGAGGGAATAACCGTAACAGCAAAAATCCAAGCCCAAAACTAATAAGTAAACTACTAATGACAAGGAAACTAAAACACGTAAACCACAATAGCCATAATAGCCATGCACGGGCATTGCTTCTTTCCGCTACCCAGCAGCCTGCCGAACTCGATCGTGCCTCTCTAGAAACCGGCTTGCCATCTCCTCCACTGCATCATCCTCCCCGGGGTGGACAGAATTCGCCCTCGAATTGTCGCCGTCCGAGTCGTCGCCAGCGAACGGAACTAGGTGCTTGACATTGAAGACATCGGATGTGCGAATATGGCTGGGCAGGTTGAGACTGTAAGCGTTGGGGTTGATCTTCTCAATGATCTCCACTGGCCCAATCTTCCTGGCCGCCAACTTGTAATAGTCGCCCGCGGAGAAGCGATATTTAGTCAGAACAGCCCACACATAATCACCCACGTCGAACTCCACATGGCGGTGCTTACGATCAGCAACCTCTTTGTACTTGCTCGCCGCCTTCTCCAGGTTAGTACGCACCAACTGGTGGGTGTCCTGCAATCGATGAACAATGTCTACAGCCTTACCATGAGGACGTGAAGGGTCCGGCATCCCCATCAAGTCGAGCGGTCCACTTGGGGAACGTGAATAAACAACTTGAAAGGGACTAAATCCTGTGCTCCGGTTGACGGCATGGTTATGAGAAAATTCGGCCTGGCAAAGCTTCAAATCCCAACTCTTCACATTGTCACCGACCAAGCACCTTAGTAGGTTACCCAACGACCGATTGACAGTCTCGATTTGGCCGTCCGTCTGCGGATGATAGGCGCTACTGAACTTCAGCTTGGTATTCACCATTCGCCAAAGACTGCGCCAAAAATGACTCAAAAACCGAGTGTCTCTGTCGGAAACAATAGAGGTGGGCAACCCATGCAACCTGTAGACTTCCCGGAAGTATAACTGCGCCACCCAAACAACGTCTGTTGTCTTCTTACAAGGGAGGAAATGCACCATCTTAGAAAACCAGTCAACGACAACATAAATAGAATCGTTCCCGCGCTGAGTACGAGGCAAGCCGAGAACAAAATCCATGCTAATGTCTTCCCAAGGCCCGGACGGGATAGGTAAAGGCATGTATAACCCAGCGTTCGTAGCAGTGCCCTTCGATACTTGGCAAGTATGGCAGAGTTTCACGAACCGTTGAACCTCCCGCCGCATGGTCGGCCAGAAATAGCTTCCCTGGACGAGTCGTAAGGTGCGATCTCGCACCACATGGCCTTCACCGTGTAATTCCTGAATGATTAAGGTGCACAGAATATAGTCCGGAATGCACAATTGGTTTCCCTTGAAAAGAAACCCATCATGCAGTAGGTACCCCATCCGTTCAACTGCTCGAACCCGCACAAGCACACTAGCAAAGAAAGGGTCAGTTTCCAATAAATCAGGCAAAGTACGAAAGCCCGGTACCTCTACTGTCATGCGTCCCATGAGTGTCCGACGCCGACTCAATGCGTCTGCAACCCGATTAGTGATTCCACTAGTGTGCTTCACCACAAATGTAAAGCGCTCCAAGTAGGCCACCCACGCGGCATGTCGGGCCCAGACTTTGTCTTGGCCGTGCAAGTGTTTGAGGGCTTCATGGTCGGTATACAGAATGAACTTGCGATGAAATAGATAATGGCGCCAATGCTTCACCGCTTGATCGACAGTATAAAACTCAACATCGTAAGTGCTATATCGCAACTTTGCACCTGTCAATTTTTCACTAAAGAAGGCAATGGGACGGCTGTTCTGACTCAAAACTGCACCAATGCCCACCTTCGACGCATCCGAATATAGCTCGAAGGGCTGATGGAAATTCGATAGCACCAAAATTGGGGTCGTTGTTAGCTTCTCCTTAATTAGTTCGAACGCTGCTTCGGCCTCGTCAGTCCACAAGAAGTTACTGCCACGCATGGCGTCCGTGATGCTGCTGAAGTGAGGAATAAACCGCCGATAGAACGACGCAAGTCCATGGAAGCTCCGCACATCGGTCAACGTGCGCGGGCTAGGCCACTGTCCCACAGCCTCCACTTTTGATTTATCAACCTGTAGTCCCTCGGCGGAGATAACATAGCCGAGGAATATCACCTCCGAGGACATGAAAACACACTTTTTCAAGGCGCCATAAAGCTTCTCTTGCCGAAGCACCGTGAGAACTTCCCGCAAATGTCGGATATGTTGCGCGTGATCCGTGCTGTAAACAAGGATATCATCAAAATATACCACAACACATTTACCAATGAACGGTCTCAAAACCTGGTTCATCACGTGCATGAAGGTACTAGGCGCATTCGACAACCTGAACGGCATAACCAGCCATTCGTACAACCCCTCACGCGTCTTGAATGCCATCTTCCACTCATCACCTTCACGAATGCGAATCTGGTGGTAGCCACTCTTCAAATCCAACTTTGAAAACACACGAGCACCATTCAGTTGGTCAAGTAAGTCATCTAGTCGGGGAATGGGAAAACGATACCAGACTGTGATTTTATTAATGGCTCGACTGTCTATGCACATGCGCCACAAACCGTCCTTTTTGGGAGTCAACAAGGCAGGAACGGCGCACAGGCTGAGGCTCTCTCGGACGAAACCCTTGGTTAGCAAATCTTCCACTTGTCGGCGTAGCTCTTCGTGCTCTGCGGCGGTCATCCTGTAGTGCGGCCTATTAGGGAGGACGACTCCCGGTTCGAGGTCGATCCGATGTTGTATGTCTCGCAACGGTGGCAAGTCGTTAGGAAGGTCCTCCGAGAACAAATCTTGAAACTCCCGCACAATCTTAGCTGCTGCGTTGGGCACGACTACCCTTGTAGAGACATCTCTTCCAATGAGGGCAAACACCACTCCTGACTCACGACTCTCTTCTTCGAACCGGGCTAGGGATAACAAATTCTTGCCCAACTCGTGACTCGTTTCTCTTGGCATCGACTTCTCTTGGGTGGGAACCAGCACAATGCGCACTTCCTCGTATAAGAAATTGTAAGTATTCGAGCGCCCATCATGGCGCACTTCCCTGTCGAATTGCCACGGTCTTCCCAAGAGCAAGTGACACGCATCCATCGGGACAACATCACACCATTTCGAATCCTTATACTTGGACCCAATGGAGAATGGAACTAAAGCACGCTTGGACACACCAACCTCACCCCCTTTCTTCAACCAAGCTAAATTATAGGGTTTCGGATGGCCTTCTGTTGAATAGCAGTGCCGACACGATATTCTCACAACTTCCCGAGTCAATCATGAAACGACAAACCTGGCCCCGGATTGTACAGGTAGACTGAAAGATGTTGCTCTTGAGTCAGTTCTCCTCAGTCGCACGAGGAGTTATGAAGGCCCTCCTCACGACCAGGTTCACGTCGCCATCACCCCTCACGAATTCCTCCTCTACAGCCTCCACGTCGAACACTGGTGTTGCATCACCGGTAGCCTCGAATTCTCCATCATCAAATGCAGCCACCTCTGTGAACATTGCCTTCCTCGCGGGTTGCTTGCATTCTGACTGATGATGACCCTGCTCCCCGCACTGGAAGCACCTGAGGCCGCCACTACTGTTACCTGTCCCACCAGTACCAATTTTATTGGACCTTCCAATGGCGTCATTACCCGTAGGAGCGCTGCTATTGGTGATGCGAGGGAACCCGCCACTACCACCGATCGGGGGGCGGCACTAGTTGAGCTCCTAGCCCGTCGTTGTTGCCTCTCGATGATCACAGCCCGCTGGTAGGCTGTCGAGACTCTAACTGGGTCGAACAAATTCACAATTTCTTGTATCTGGACCCATAATCCCCCAATATAGCGTGCGACCAACTGGTCATCCGTTTCATGTACCTCGTTCCTGGCTATGAGCTGATAAAACTCGTTGGTATAGTCTTCTACCGAACGAGCGCCCTGTCGCAGGTTCTGCAGCCTCTGATACATAACCCGTTGGAAGTTGTACGGTACGAATTGAGTACACATAGTCTCTTTCATCTTCTCCCACGACGTGATCTTGGACTTTCCCAAGCGTTCGCGGGTTAACTTCGTCTGTTGCTACCAAGCCGTAGCCCTTCCTCGCAACCGAGTTGCTAATAGCTTCACCCGTTTATCCTCCGGGACCTCTTTGAAGTCCATAACCTCTTCGACCCTGATCAGCCAATCGAGAAACTCTTCTGGTTGTAAGCCTCCTTGAAATTCCGGAATATCGACTCGCATACCCGACTCCCAACGCCGCTGATCTACCTGATGGCGCGGCCTCTGAAGATCATCACCAAAACCATTCTCACTTTACGAGGACTCACTCTCTTCTTCCTCAAACCCGGCATGTAATTGGTTGCGGTCGATGGCGTCCTGTTGGTTTACGACCAACAACTCCATCCTCTCCGCTAATCGTTCAGCTGTCTCTTCCATCCGCCCCATTCATTCAACCATATCATCACGTTCATAAACTTCTTCCACGCGACGACGATTCACCGGTCGGCGGGGCGGCATGATGGAGACTAGGCTCTGAATACCAACTGACGCAGCAAGTACCTGGATAGAAACTGAAGACCCGTTGATTCTACCGAATGCCGGGAAAACGATCACCACTAACCAATTGATTCGAGGAATACCTTGGTTAGCAGTGTCAAGAACGAACTCTCGCGAACTCGAACTTGGGGAAAAGAGCGGCGGCACCCTTGTTCTGTTATTACGCAAAAGCTAATTAAAAAGCCTTGTCTCGACAAATATATATAGTGCAGGGGGAGGGAATAACCCTAACAGCAAAAATCCACGCCCAAAACTAATACGTAAACTACTAATGACAAGGAAACTAAAACACGTAAACCATAATAGCCGTGCACGGGCGTTGCTTCTTTCCGCTACCCAGCAGTCTGCCGAACTCGATCGTGCCTCTCAAGAAACCGGCTCGCCATCTCCTCCACTGCATCACTTAGTTAGGATTGAATACATAGTGTGCTTCGACTTTATAAATTTAAAGCTCGATCACGCACAAGCGTCCGATAATCAGTCGAATTATAGTGAAGCTCGAATCATACATGAGTCAGTTATACATGAGTCGAGCTAGAGTTATATATGAGTCAGAATTTTAGTAAACATACTCAGTTTAAACTTTGTTTATTCCAGAGCTGAACCTGAATTATGCAAAAATCAACTCAGCTCGAGGTTTAAGTTTTATTCTTTCTCTCGTTTATTCAAGACGACACATTAGTCAGAGCCATATGTAGAAGGTGAGGAATTAGGGATTCCTAGTGGAGTTGCTTCTGCGGTATCACAATGAATTAGTCCCCATGGGAGGAACCACGGCTATTCACCGATGGTGACTTCAGTCCAGTGTGATTATCACTCCATAGAGTATAAGCCAGATGAGGATCGCCATTTCTCTCCATCTGGGCGTGGACGAAGGTCATCTTATGCGACATAGGGACAATGCAATGTTATATAGGGTAGCAAACACACATAAGTCCTTAAAATCCAACCATTGCGTGCCAGGCACTCTACCCGGGTCCATGTAGTTGATGCAATGAACTGCACCTTGCCAACCACCACTTCCATCTACTCTTCTCGAAACACTTCTTGGTACTTCCATA